TTTTCTCTTTTACTTTCGATTTTCTACTTTTTAATGCAGTTGTCTTTTTAAGCTGATATATCAAACATACATTATACAAGAACTAAATCTGCCTATTGCAGGTCTTTCTTTAGGCCTGAAATTTTGTATAAACTGTTAATTAGACATTAATAAACTTATCCAGACCATAATCAATTCTCGATGGCATCGCTAGCATGTGATGTTTATTGGATATTGGATTAGGTTCCGATTTAGTAATGATGACCGAGGCTAGGCCGTAAATGCAATCGCTAAAATCTCGGTTCAGAGTGGATCAATTTGACTGAAATTTTCAGTAAATTGCCTTAACATTATCTAGTTTTGAACTATTATAGTGAGAACTACCAGCTCTTTATCTAATCTTCCTTCATGTATCTTTAATAAAAAGTTTGACTACAGTGTGACCGTTGCTCTGCTATAGTGAGAAGAAACAAAACGTTGTCCGCGATCAGTTTCACTGCCAATCAACAATCCATGAATTGATTCTGTTTGAAATATAGACTGAGCTATAATCACTATAGACAAGCTATCGATCACTGGTTATTCAAGATGTTGATATGTATCTACTATAATTGACAATCTCGTCTACTGATGAGCTTAGAAAGAAATTATTCTTGAAATATTAGTCAATTTATAACACATTTATTTAAAATAAAACTAGCTTACTCTTAGTTTTAAGTATTTATTTTTTATGAACTGGGGATATAATGATTGGATTTATAATGAAATAATAGAAGTCTACAACTCCATTGTACTCAATCTCATTATTTCGTTTCGTTTTTTTATAAGACGACATTTAAAACGGAACACAATTTTGAAAAAAACCGAATCGAAACAACGTCTAAATGGGTTATAATACCATGCTGAAGTTTTTATTTTTATCAATGTTTGAATTTTCACGCCATATTTATAATTTGTATGCTGTACCCAATCTGTTTAGTCCATAAAATAAAATACGGAATATAAAACGAAACGTAATTTAATAAAATGAATCGCAATAACATCTGATTGGGTTATTCGATAATATCCGGCTAACATTTTTGTTTTTGTTTTTATATGTGCTTCGTTTTTCACGCCTCTATTTTTAGTTTGTATGTTTTTGGATTTTTTTTTTGTTTTTTTTTTGTTATTTTCCGTTTCCTATGTTTCACAGTTTATAATTATGTACAATATTTAAATACACACATATTAGCGCATCCTTCATTGACCTTTAGAGTATGACGTCATGTTTTTTTACGTTGATTTCCCGGCATATACATAACAAGAAACAGGATCGCCTGACCTGGATTTTCTCCGGGTCCTCCCGTTTCGCCCCACTGCTAATGACCCCTACGCACAAGAAAGTTATTGAAATAAAACTGAACTATATGTTAGTCCTAAATTGGCATAGTTTGTGTTGAGATAGAGAGGGGGGGGGGGGTAACGTTCACTCGACACAAACTAGGTCATTTCAGGACTAACACTTGGTTAAATTTTATTTCAGTAATTCGCTTGTAGGGACCCGGAGAAAACCCAGGAAGTTGGATAGACAACCCTACTCCTTGTCACGTAAATATTCATTTAGAAAATCAAATGAACACTATTAAATTTAACTAGATAGGCGTTATTATTTTTTTTTTTAAATTGCGAAAAATTATACAGTTCTATCATTTCTTTTTTATTGTTATTCAAATCAATAATGTTTCTTATTTTAAGATATAAATCTTATACGTTTAAAAAGGATAAATGCAAATTTAGCAAATTTGACATCTTTGCTTTGAGTGAAAAATTCAACTGTCGATTTATTAAGGTTGATGTGCAGATTTGGTTTGTAAAGTGACCACCTTTCTTTAATTAACATTTAAGCATTAGCGTGCACGTTAAAGAACCATTAGCGTGCACGTAAAAGAATCACTGATTGCAGTAGGGGTCTGAAATAAGAGTAGGCCGTAGCGCTGCTGTCTGGGCAAAATTTCCCTCATAGCACACTATATGGCGTATGACCGTCTTCATTCGCCCAGCCGGTGCAAAACAGTAGGACGGTAAACCCCATTTCATTCAAAATTTCAGTTTTATGGTTAAGCTGATTTTATTGTTTGGCTGAATTAGGACGGATACACGGTGTACCACTGAATGGTGTTTATTACTAACACACAAATATCAACCAAACAGTCAGCATTATTATACTGTCCTAAATTCTCCCATTGTCACACCGCATTATCAAATAAAATATTGTAAAGATTTAATCCTTCGCACTTAATATGTATCACTTGACAAGTAGGACGCTCAGCTCTATTTCGTATCATTTGATTTCTCGACAAGAAGTAGGTACGAATACAGTTCATGGGGCAAATAGAATGTCCAAGCGCTGATTTCACAAAGCATTCTCAGACTTAAGTTAAGAATTTACTCAAAATTTTTTGCCTTATTTATTAAACTTTTGTTGTTTTAATGTATCAAATACATCAATTAGAAACTATGTGCAAAGTTTTGTGTTTCTGAATCAAAGATATTTCTCATAAACAGTGATTGAAAGTTGAGTAAATTCTTAACTCACGCCTGAGCATGCTTCGGGAACTCCGGCACAGGCGTAGATTCCGGTTGATACGGTATAAATAATGTATGATCTAAATGGTAAAGGGAGACCCAAACCATAAAGTCGATAAAACGGAAGGTAAAATGTATGTACTAGTACGTATATTTCCTGGCAAGGGACAATGTATAGTCGTTCGGATGGGATAAAAAAAAAACGAGGTCCCGTGTACACATTGGCGTGCACGTAAAAGATCACTTGACAATTTGAATTCGATATGACTAGGCTGTAGCGCCGCTGTCCGGGAAAAATTTCCCTCATAGCACACTATATGGCGTATGAAATGAAATGAAATGTGGTATAACGCCCTACTGTTCTGCTCCGAACTGAGCTAATGAAGACGGAATATATGGCGTATGCCCTTCTTCATTAGCTCAGTCGGAGCAGAACAATAGGACGTTAAACCCTATTTCATTTTATTTCCTATGTGACAATATTAAATAAATAAACCCAATAATCCATAATAATGTCTTTCAAGTCCTGGTGAAAATGAACAGAGATAATTAATGCTAAATCAAAAACAACTCGTGTACAAACCGACGGTAAAATATGTATGTAAATGGCACGTAGATTATAGTTTTCTTACGTGAAGTTATCAAATTAATCATTCTCATTATATTCCTTGAATGACATTTAGTAATTGCGACATGATCAAAAATGACACTCTTTGTGGATAATAATTCCTATAAATACCCCCCCCCCCCCAAAAAAAAAGCCCAGACACTATTTGTGGATAATAAATAATATAAATAATACCCCCCCCCCTAAAAATACACATACTATTTGTGGTTAATAAATACTATAAATAATAACCCCCCCCCCCACTCTAAAAGAAGAAAACTATTTGTGGGCAGTAATTACTATTAATTATGGATAAATGGGGCCTAATGTTAATAATACCCCCCAAAAATTCGTTTAGTAATCCTATCAGGTATACAGACAAACAGTACACATACTATTGTATACTAAAATGATACACAATACAAGACTCTTCTGGTGTCTCTTTAATACGTCAATATTCTTATATAACACAGTTAAGCTGTTATCTATCAACGTCAACGAAGACATTTTACTCTAGTTTTAAAATAAAATAAGCAATTTAAATCGTATTATTAAATACGTATGCAAATTATATATGAAAACATACACTACTACAATGTATGTAATGATAAGTATATTTCCTATATGGAAAGGGGGGGGGGGTGGATGGCCGAATGGTTAGCACGTGCGCGCCGTATCATAAGGTCTGTCATTGAGTCAACTGGCGTGGTTTCGATTCCTCGGTTAAACGTGACAAGGAGTAGGGTCGCGAGTCCAACCTCGTGGGTTTTCTCTGGGTCCTCCAGTTTACCCCCACCGCTAAAGACCCTACGCGCAAGCGAATTATTGAAATAAAATTGTTAGTCCCAAAATGACCTAGTTAAACCCCATCTCTCTCTCTCTCTCTGTCCCTATATAGAAAATTATCAATTTATAAATCCCAATATTTCTGTGAATGGCATTTAGTAATTAGGGCATTATCAAATAAGACTATTTATGAATAACAATTACTATAAACCATAACGTGCTGTCTTATTTCAATAAAGTAATACCCAATAATGTCGTAGACTTCCAACAGAATAAGCATTAAATTCATTAAATGTTTACAGGAAGATGGGGACACGAAATCATAATGTCGCAGAGTTCCAAGAGAATAAGCCTTATCTCCAAAATTCATAAAATGTTTACAGGAAGATGGGGACACGAAATCATAATGTCGCAGAGTTCCAAGAGAATAAGCCTTATCTACAAAATTCATAAAATGTTTACAGGAAGATGGGGACACGAAATCATAATGTCGCAGAGTTCCAAGAGAATAAGCCTTATCTACAAAATTCATTAAATGTTTACAGGAAGATGGGGACACGAAATTATAATGTCGCAGAGTTCCAAGAGAATAGGCAGAATATACAAAATGTTAACAGGAAGATGGGGACACGAAATTATAATCCTGTTCATCGATATTGAAAGTAGATTAATGTAATTACAGAGTTGGCAAAATATAATGGTGTTTTTGATTATACTAATTTTTCTAATAATTTTTATCTTTGTTTTTGTTTTAATATAAATAATTAATATTTTTAGAATTTATACTATTATAAAGAACATCGTTATTCGTAAAGATTGAGCAGAACAAATTCGTGAGTCTTTCAAAATAAAATTACGACGAACAAAATATAAGTAAAGATAAATTAATAGTTAGGTATTAGTTAATTAATTTCTGAATTTAGTTTTAATTCTGAAAAATTTGATATAATCTAATTTTTTTTCACCAACTGTAGAAACATTAATCTAATATATTTTGGTTTGGGCTAAATCTTTCTACATTAATGAAAGCATTAATTAAAAAATAAAAAATAGAGAAGTTAAATTTAAATATAAATATTTTATTATACATTCTACAAGGTTTAAAAGATTCAGAGTAAATTAACAACAAAATTTTACCTTTATTGATGAGAAAATCAGTTTTGCGCAATTAAATAACAATTGCACAAGCACGAGTCCTCGCTTCTCAGACAAATGTAATATAATTTACAACAGAAATAATAACAGTTTTATACAATTAACAATCAATTAAAATTAGCACATTCCATGTCCTTTTTTTATATATCGTTTATTTTTTCATTTCCTTTAAATTCTGTATAAAGATCACTTCTGTACCAAACAAAGGAAAAACAAATGAATTATCTTTTCTCGGTTTGCTTATATCGTTTGTCAATAAACGCTAATTTAAAGTTTGATTTAGTTAAATCGTAATGTTTTTAATATACGTTTATAATTGCACTCCGATCTAAAATGGTATTTTATAAAAATACCAGAAACGTCTGTTTTAAAAGTTCATAATACCCTTCTAGTTATAATACACTTTCACGTTTAACTACAGCTCACGCACACCGTGTCTTCTTTCATTTCTTTAGGGTTATTTATCAGTCACCGTTACCACGGGCGAGAACGATGAATCCGCCGAAGCGAAAGGAGAGGGGAACTTCAGTAACCTGTTAGGACTGGCCAGTGCCCCCATTCCAGCGAAGGGGGATAACGGAAACGACCTGAGTTGATTTAAATACATTTCCATGTTTCTTGGATCGATGGCTGAAAATGTCGGTAAGATCAAAGGGTTCCTGAATATTGCTGAGTTACTGTGTTGTCGTGGCAACGCTTGCGCCGTGGGTAGCGATTCCGATGCATTTTCACTGCTCCTGACGGAGTCGGATAACAGTCTGTCAACGGAGAAACTTAACGGTTTAGGTGCCGATCTGTCGGATGGATTAGCAAATGATAGTGCTCCTGGATAAGCTGAATATGGTAAACTTGGATATCTGGTCCCAGGAAATCCAGGTAGAGCGTAGAGAGGCGTACAGGCAGCATACGGGTGAAGGCGGTCAGCTGGATAGGGATAGCCAGGTACAGAAATATGAGGGAATCCCGCCCTTTTTAAAGCGGCTAACCGACTTCTGGTGGCTAATGTTGATCTTCGCCGTAACTTTCCCGTCGTTCCTCCGATAAACACATCCTCGCAGCACGGATCCAACATCCAATAATTACCTTTTCCAGGATCGTCGTAATGTCGAGGAACTTTGAGGAAACATTTGTTTAAACTCAGATTATGACGAATAGAATTCTGCCATCCTTGTTTATTGTCCTTATAATACGGGAAGTTTTTCATGATAAATTCATAGATCTGACTGAGCGTGAGTCTTTTTTCGGGGCTTCCACGAATTGCCATCATAATCAACGCATTATAGCTAAATGGTGGTTTCTCCGCCTTTTTCTCCTCCTTGGAACCCGTGTCTTTCAAATCCCCATCGTTTTCGCTCTGTTTATCCTCCAAATCCTCCAAAGTATCATCTCTCATGTCATCTCCACTGTCGTCATTCACAGAAATATTTCCATCAAAACTCGGTCCATCGTCGGCTTCCTCGCTCACAACATCCACAAAATCTTCCCTGAATGACGAACTTCCATCTAATTCTGCTTTCTCACAATTGTCGTCTGCTTGTGCAGGGGAGCAGCCGATATCTTCACCCAAAACACGACTGATGCTAAACGGATTTAGAGATCGCTTTGTGTTCATATTGTCGATCTGAACCATTTCTGATAATAAATATTTGAATCCTTGTCTTCGGATTTCATGAAAACACTTGCTTTCACCTCTGAGTCAGTTTCACAAATAACGCCATCCCTTTCATTGTCGTGAGGAACATACAAGATAATTGACAGTTTGATCTGTCAATCAATTTCTCACTGCGAGATCAATCGACCAATCATACATCGCGCACATGTTTGACCACGCCTTCTAGATGAGTGGTAACCAAACGTCAATATTTTCAACCTATGGTGGCGTGTTTAGTCTAAAACGCGTAATATTTCCCACTATTTCTGATTTTTCTGTTATTTAGCCTTTCAATCTGAACACCAACCGTTACAAACTGTGAAATGAACGATAATTATTAAGAGATATTTTTTTTTCAATTTATAAGAAAGGACAATATAGTTTATGGAGAAAAACGGAAAATATTTTAATCTACGATTTTTAAATCGAAATCGATAATAATAATAAAGTATTTAAATGTAAAACATCAAAATGTATTTTTGAAACCAAAACAGTCTGGTTGGAATCAAACAGCAAGGACTGTGTTTATATCAACAATTAAAATAAAATATTAATTAATTTTAATTAACTGTTTAATTAGCTTTACAACGTTTAGAGAATACATTAGTTGTTTACCATAAGTATGTGTTATTGTTTTTGACTCTATCCAGTTACTAAATATAATAGTAGTTGTTTTCCATAAGGATGTGTTATATGTTTTTGACGCTATCCAGTTACTAAATATATTAGTAGTTATTTTCCATAAGGATGTATTATAGGTTTTACTCTAGTTGTTTTCCCTATTTTTTTTAATAGTTTTTTTTACTCTACCCAGTTACTATAGAAGAAGAAGAATAAGAAAATTTATTGCATAAAAACCTTACATGGTTATGTGCATATACAAATAAAATAATAGAAATATACATGAAACAAACAAAGGATACATACATGGACATAATTATACAAAGATACACAACTTCACAAAGACATGAACGAATTGTATACAAAAGTTCCTAAACATATATATATATTAGTAGTTGTTTTCCATATGCTTGTGTGATAGTTTTTGTTTTGACTCTTTCCATTTACTACATTTAATAGTAGCTATTTTCCACAAGTATGTGCAATAGGTTTTTGACTCTATTAGTTGAATATAATAGTAGCTATTTTCCATAAGTATGTGTTATAGGTTTTTGACTCTATAAGTTGAATATACTATTGGCTGTTTACAATAAGTATGTGTTATAGTTCATTATTCTATCCAGTTGCTAAGTATAATTATTAGTATCCGTTTCCCATAAGTATGTTTTATAGTTTAATATTCTATCCAGTTACTAAATATATTAGCAGCGGGTTTCCATAAATATTGACTGTTTTCTATCAGTATGTGTTATAGTTTTTTTACTCTCTCCAGTAACTAAGTATATTAGATTTCCATAAGTTGTGTTTAGTCTATCTAGATACGTCTCTCTATATGATATAAATAATGAAAACATCACGGATAATTACCAGTTGAAAAATTCCATTAATTTAATTCTTAATATATTCATTGCTTTATTGAATAAATAAAAGTACGCACATTTAAATTGTAATTAGTTAATTATATTGAATAAATTATTTAGTATTTATTATAACCGAATAGAAAATTAATTAAGACTACTATTCATAGACCAGTTAGCTAAAATTGCCATAATAATATTAAACTTCGTAGATTTATGATAACAGCGAAATTTCAATTTCATTCATTCATTCATTATTTCATCCACCTACCATTCATCCAGTCATTCAGTCTGACATTTTTATTAAGTCATTTTATTCAGTCATTTATTCATCATCTCACCGTTCTATTCGCCATCTCACCATTTTATTCATCATCTTACTATCTCACCATTTTATTCATCATCTCATCATTTTATTCACTATTCATTTTCTCACCATTTTATTCATTATCTCACAATTTTATTCATCATTTCAACATTTTATTCACTATTCATCATCTCACCATTTTATTCATCATCTCACCATTTTATTCATTATCTCACCATTTTATTCATTATCACACCATTTTATTCATCATTTCAACATTTTATTCATCATTTCAACATTTTATTCACTATTCATTATCACATCATTTTACTCATTATCTCACCATTTTATTCATCATCTCACCATTTTATTCACTATATCATTGTATTAATTCAATTTATTCATTATTTCAATTTATTCGTTTCAGTTTATTCATCCATTGTATTATTTCATTCATTCATTATTTTATTTTATTGGATGATAATTACAAGATTGACATATCGTAGTTTATAGTCCAACTAATTTGCAGTTTATGTATGGATCCTTACCCCCCAAAAATATATTTTTGGGAAATGTTATTTTCAGCTTGGCCATAAATCCATAGCAATACCGACCACGCAGCATACAAACTGTGCAAAATAAAGTTTAAAGTTTGATATTCAAAATTCTCACTTTATGTATACATCCTTACAAAGAAAGATTGGGCCTATATTTTGGGAAATGTTATTTGCACCCTTGGCATAATTCCATAGCAATACCGACCACGCATCACGCAAACTGCGCAAAATAAAATTTGAGGTCATTAAAGCAAGAATCGAAGTGGAAGTGAGTTTAGCGCTTCTATTTCCCCCGCGATAAATCGCTGTTGGGAGAGTCTCTAGTGTCTATATATAGCTGTTATCTCTGTTTATTACAAGTTGTTTGAAACATGGAGATGGTGGGGGTGGGGGTGGTAGGAGAGGTGGTGGGTGGACTCGGTAAGTTGGTAGAGTTTCTAGTGTCTAAATATAGCTGTTATTTCTACTTATTACAAGTTGTTTGAAACATGGAGGAGGGGTTGGGTGTGGGCTGCGGTGAGTTGGAAGAGTTTCTAGTGTCTATATATAGGTGTTATCTTTGCTTATTTCACGTTTTTTGAAACATGGAGGTGAGGGCGTGGTGGGGTGGGGGTGGACTCAGTGAGTAATAATATCATCAAGCTGGAAGTCCTGTGTTCGATGCCGGTAGTGTTGGCAGAGAAAGTTCATCCGGGTTTCCCGGCGTGGTTCCCCCTTGCCAGTGGTTTAGGACAGAGAGCCTGGCAAGGGACAACATAATATAGTCTTTTGGATGGGACGAAAACCTCATGTTCCGTGTACACATTGGCGAAAACGTAAAATAAGCCTATACCGTTGGCATTCGATATAAGAGTCGGCCCTAGCGCCGCTGTCCGGGAAAAATGTCCCTCATAGTATACACCATGCGCATGCTCGCTTTCATTGGGTGTACACATAATAAAACCCTTATATCTGTGGATATACAGCGCAGGGTCCTGCTGGACATATAGTGCGCCGGGCAAGAGTGCAGCTCTAGCTCTGAAATGTGAGAGTTTCTTTGAAGTTGTTAGTTGGAAATCGATGAAAAGTCGGCGGAAACGCTGCAGAAACTGGCAAATCTTCCCCCGTGGCGTATGCCCATTTTCATTTGGCCAGAAATTAGGACGTTAAGCCCATTTCATCTCATTTCGTTATAATCAAAATTAAAATAGACTAGCGGTTAACCCGGTGGTTGAACCGGAAGTAGCATAACGCTGAAACCGGAAGTGGCAAGTCATCGCCATCAGGCCTATGTTACTCCCCGATCCGAGCTACCCCATATACACCAAATTTCAGCCTCGGGACAGCCCTAGTGTATCCGGCATCACCGAATAAACAGACAGACAAATGACAATCGCAAATATTAGGATAGATTTAGGACTTCAATTGTTGATGAAATCTGCCTTTTATCAATTTCCTATGAAAAAACTAAATATGTTCAAGATTTAGACCAGGAATCGAACGCCGGACATTTTTATCGGGAGTGTAGTTTCTTTACCGCTCAACTTCGTGGCCACCATTTTGAATAGAAATGAAATGGGGTTTAACGTCCTACTGTTCTGCTCCGAACTGGGCTAACGAAGACGGACATACGCAATACAGTGTGCTATGAGGGAAATTTTGCCCGCGCAGCGGCACTATAGCCTACTCTTATATCGAATTCCAACTCTCAAGGGATCTTTTACGTGCATGCCAATGTATACACAGGACCTCGGTTTTTCGTCCCATCCGAAGGACTAGACAGCTGTCCTTGTCAGGAGGAGGGTACCACGGCCAATGCAGGGATCGAATACCCAGCGTCTTACCCACTTAGCCACCGTGACCCCCACCCCCCACCCACCCCCGACAAGGGGACATAATTCACTCGCTTATTCAACTGCTAACACATTAATCTCAAAATGATTGCTACCGAGACGTTAATTAACGGTTCATGTTTGTTAACATAAATCTGTACTAACGATCCTCTTCCCACCTCCCCCGTCTACTCCCCTCTCTGCTGGCACCCCACTTATAAAACAGATTCTTTCACTAAAACAAACTACAAAGTGAAGACAAAGACGGCGAGACTTGTCGCTTGATTTCCAAGCGTTTGCCTAGAGTGTGCCTTAGAGGGGACAAGCACGTGCACTGAATCATGTGACCTGTTAAAGGATGTATTAATAAGCGACATCCTGCCTGTAGGGGGAGCTGTGTGCACAGTGAGTTGAATTGTCTCCCTTTAGCACTCGTGACTCACGTCCAACACTCGTTTATTTTCGTGTATTTCTATTGGAGTCGGAGAACTTGAGTTGTCTTTTCTAACTACTTCTTTTGTCGCTTGATGAAAAACTTGTTTAACGTCGAACCATTCGGCTAAAACTAATGGACGCTGCGCCGATTGAGTGACATGCCGCGCGTGTGCGTCGGCAAGCAAATATGTTAGTAATGAGCTATCAATTAGCCCAGCCAAGGCACGTGGATCTGTGAAACCGGCACGATATCTACAAATTATCAATTAATTTTTACAAATATCGACATGTTCTTATGTTAATTGTCAGTTTATTAAGATGGCGATGTTTGACGAGGTTAATTAGTTAAGTCTAATATTGAGATGCTGTTCGAATAGAGAAATCGGATAGCTACCTTAACGAAGATATTTGTAGAAATCGAGACTAAAGTTAGCGGTGTTGCTTCTTGTCGTATGACACCTCAGATTAT